CTTTGAGTAAAATAAATAAAATGACTGTGGCAGTTACATGATCTCTTGTCAACTTTTGAAGGGTGGGGTCTAGCTCATCAATTAGGCCATAGCCAAGGAGGCCTCCATGTGGGCGTGGCCTTCTCCTGAAGATTCTGGGAATTCCCGTCTTCCTCCCTAGAGATGGGACACACACTCTTTCTGCTTCACCTTCCTGTTGAAGCAGAGAGCGTTGAAGCCACATGGGGCTCTGCTGGTAGAGCAAGAGCCCTGGCGCTGGAGGAGCCATGTGGAGACCCAAACAGCTGAGATACTTCCAGCAGCACTGGATTCACGAGACTTTCCACCCACTGGCCTGTGTTCTTCCTGTGTTCTATATCATTGCATGGCTGTGTGAATCTAAAGAGGAATTTATGGACTAGTGTTGACACACAGGATAACATCAGACTTATGGACTTGCTCTGGATGGGGCTGGGATGTTTTCTTTCTTTTTTTTTTCTCTTTTTATTGGGGGCTCGTACAACTCTTATCACAATCCATGCATACATCCATTGTGTCAAGCACATTTGTACATTTGTTGCCATCATCATTCTCGAAACATTTGCTTTCTGCCTGAGGCTGGGATGCTTTCTTAATGTAAAATTGCTCTTTGATATTATGTTCCCTCATAGGAGTGTCTCTGAATTTGTTTCTCTAGTCAACCCAGACTAACACAATGATGCATGTGGATGGTATGGGATCTATCTTACCCACTTCGAGGATCCCATGCATTTCGCCCCTGGTTCTTAGCTGTGTGGTGAATGGCTAAGTACATCTGATTAGACTTTCAACCACGAACCGAGCAACCTTTCATTATTACCCATAGAAACAAGAATCGGGAGACTTTGACTTGCTGCCTTTGGCCATGCTGTCAGGAAAGGCCAATCACTAGACAGGAGATCATGTTTATAAGGCGGAGGGTGGAGGAAACCCAAGGAGACCCACAAGGAACTGCACTGAACACCACAGCCATCCCAGAGGCTCAAGAACCCCTGTGCTCATGCAGCCAGCAAGGACGGAGCAGTGTCCGGTTCTGTTGAACATACCCGAGGTGGCCATGGTCGGAGCTGGCTCCGTAACAGCTCACAACACCCTCGCCCCGAGAGGCACGGTGAAGCTTTACCTAGAAGTTGCTTGTGCCACCTTCAAAAGCTGAATGAAGCGATCCACGAGGGGCAAGCAGATGGGTCCCAGCAGCAGCTCAAAGTTGGGTTGCATGAGCTCCGTCAGCCCCTTCATGAAGCTGCTGTCACAGCAGTAGACCTTGTTGTGTGGAGTGATCATGTACGAAACGAAGGTGTAGTTCCCAGTGCACATCTGTGGAGAGAAGAGGCACCTGGCGCTGAGGGGCGAGCCTGCAGACGCCACAAGGATAGAGGCCCTTGTCTCACTTTCATGGTTCGTTTTTAAAATAGCATTTCTGCATGCAAAGGGAAAATAGGGGGGGGGGCACTTCTTCATTTCTTATTGAGGATTAGGAGAATGGACGCGTCCCCCTAATCCCTTTAATGGCTCACTTCAAACAATGAAGACTTACAGGTGAAACAAAAGAGCGTGGAACAACTTCTATCATTCAACTATTTAATCCCCACCTGTCTTTGTGATCCAGAGAGCGCTGTTATAACAGAAACACACCGTGGGCGGGTGGCTTCAACAAACAGAAACCTGTTTTCTCCCAGATGAAGAGGCCAGAAGCCCAAATTCGGGGTGCTGGCTGTAGGAGAGGCCTTTCTCTCCCTTCTTAAACCTCTGGAAGAAGGTTCTGGGCTTGGCTGAGCTGTGGCTCCTAGGCAAGCGTCATGTGCTTGGCATCTCTCCTTCCCAGCCTCGTTGCTAGCTCACGTTTATTTTCAGTCTTGAACGAGGCTGACTCAAAACACACCCTCTGCTAGCCCTGCCTCAACAGAGTAACAGAGACCACCCATTCCCGACGGAATCATCCCGCAGGTACCCAGGCTCTGGCAGCACATTTAGGATTTGCAAGCATCCCTGTTATCATTAACCGGATGCCAGCAATCAGCAAGCACGATCCACTGCAGGGTGGCCCACATGCCCCTTTCTGGAGAAGTCGGTGTTGAAGGGAAACAGGACACCCAAGTACAAGGGTCCAAGAGAAGACCAGAATGTAAAAGAGGTTCACCTCCAAAATACAAGAGTGCTTCGAAATGACAGAACAAAAGTCCTTGGAATCTGTCCCTACTTTGAGGAGCTCCCCTGTGTCCCCAAACCCACAGCCATCAAGTGGCTTCTGACTCACAACAACCCCATAAAGCAGCGGTTCTCAACCTGTGGGTTGAACGACCCTTTCACAGGGGTCACCCAATTCGCAACAGTAGCAAAATGACAGTGATGAAGTAGCAACGAAATACTTTTATGGTTGGGGGTGGTCACCACAGGAGGAACTGTCTGAAAGGGTGGCGGCCTGAGGAAGGTGGGGAACCACTGCCCGTAAAGGCATTCTGAGGCTGCCCATCTTCACAGGAGCAGATCGTCTGATGGCCGCTGGACTGGAACCGCACACCTGGTGGTCAGCAGCCCAGTGCTTCCCCAGCAGGGTCTATCACCAGGCAGACCCAAGGGGATGGGCGGAAAGGCCTCAGGGAGAGACGCAAGTGAGAAGAGCACGAGCCGGGGGTAGCCCTGTGGGTCCCCGAGGCTTCCTGGGCGGTGCGCGGTTCACATACTTGGCTACTGACTGCTAGGTGGGGGGTTCCAGTCCAACAAGAGGTGCCTGGGGAGAACGGCCCTGCATTTCACTGCTGAAAAACTGACTGCCCACAGAGCACAGGCCGACTCTGATACATGCTGAGGCATCCGGAGCTGGACTCGACCTGATGGCAACGAGGGGGTTAAAGAAAGGGGGTGTTTTCCACTTGGCCGCATCCGCATTCTGGAGAACAACACAGAACTCCTCTTGCCCTCAGAGCGAAACTAATCAGAGCAAACCTTTGTCACCACACGCGTGCACCAAGGAAGGAATGGCCACGGGGCTCAAGCACGCATGGAGAAAACGGCTCTGACGCCACTTTCAGCTGCGGGAAGGGGAGAGGCTGGAGAGGCCACGCGACTGCAACTGGTCGACACTGTTCCAGGGGTCCCACTCCTTCCTGGCTGCCATACCTGCTCTCCAACCCTCGACCTCAGGTCACCTTCCCCCGTCCACCCGTCACCAGCCCAGCTCACTGCCTCACAGTAAGCAGTCAGGAGGGTTAAGCACCGTGTCTTTTATTTTTATTTATCTATCTATTTATCTATCTATTTATTTATTTATTTATCTATTTATTTATTTTCGACAGATGTGATTTCTGAGCACACTGCCCGCCAAGGCACTGGTGGTATAGATGGCCGAAGGTGAAACAGAAGCAGGGCGTGACTGCCGGCTGAAGCCTGAGCAGAACCCAATGAGAGAGCTCGCAATGTGATCTGTAAATCAAGCACATTCCGTGTTGCGTTCTCCAAGTACCACTTCATGGAGGGATAACTGGAAGACCAGTCAGGAAGTGGGGAAAATGACTACGTTCTGCTTCTAGCAGGCCCACCGGATCTAATCCTGCTCTCCAAGCTACGGGCCTCTGCAGCAAGAAAGGTTGCTTTCTCCAGCTTCTAGAGCTTACATGGTGAGTGGGCTATAAAAGACGGATTCAGACATTCCCATTTTCGAGAAGTACGAAAACTCAAAATCAGAAACCAAAATACTCTGAATCTTCCAAGTCACCAAATGAGAATAAACGAAGAGCCAATAAACCAGAAAAGTGTCACTCAAAGTGCTAGAACATTCTGCTGCTGCTGCTGCACCCCCCAGAAGCCTTAGCACCATGGGAGCCTGCATTTGGTGAGGCAAGGGATCTGGTTTATTATTATTGTTGTTGTTATTGTTGGAACCCTGTGACCCTGGGAACAATCCATCTGTGTCCAGCTGCTTCTGGGAGAGGCTGGCTGGCTGGTGTCCGGTGTGTGCTGAGCGGCAAGGGGGTAAAGGGAAAAGAGTTCAGGGTCACGCCAGACAATAAACAATCCATCCTGAAACGGTCTTCTTCCAAGCCCAAGGTGCCTGGCCTCAGAAGCCTAGCTGAAAATCACCCTTTACCACCTTCCTGGCCTCCCACCACTTTCAGGAGTCTCTTCTTGAGGCAACTGACTCCCCCTCCCCCACCCCAATTGCCAGTTATTTACAGTTGCCATCAAGTTGATTCCACTCGCGGCAACCCCATGATGTCAGGGTGAAACAGCGCCATGGGGGGTTTTCAATGGCAGTTTGGGGGAGAGACCACCAGAGCCTCGTGCTGAGTCGATTCTGACCACAGTGGCACCTTCGGGCCAGCGTAGAACTGCCCCTGTGGGTTTCTAAGACTATAAGTCCTTCAGAGTAGAAAGCTTCGTTTTTCTCCCACAAAGCAATGGGTGGTTTCGAACTGCTGACCTCGTGATTAGCAGCCCTACTCGTAAGCCACTACACCACCAGGGCCCCTCAGAGGAGGCTCGGGGCAGACGGGGCTCTCTACGTGGTGGTTTAGCAGCCGACCACATGAACCGTGTGCACCACACAGAAACCAGGATGGTTTTTCCAGACAAAGAGGGAGTGCTGGCCCATGCTTGTTTAGGAAACCTTTGTTCAAAATCTAGTTAGTCTTCACTATGAAAATTAATCATAATGATTCTGGGTCTGATAAAAGCTATATACAAGGAAAAAGAAAAAAAAGCCTATTTCATATGCACAGAAAAAATGCATCAAGTTCTTGGGGAGAAATGCTCTCAGCATACCAACATGCTTAAATATGTGCTCAACTGCATACGGGGCCTCATGTCACTGGCCGCCTGGAAGGGATGCTTTTGTGGGGTTCTGCTTTGAATTGAGGGGAAATGCAGGGAAACTTGCAGATGGTAAACACTACCAGGCCACCTAACTTGGGTCTATTCTGACTCCACGGCACCCCAAGATTGGGTCAGTGTGGGGCTGTGCTCCATAAGGTTTTCAATGACTGATTTTTTCGAAGGCAATCGGCAGGCCATTCTTCCAACACAGCTCTGGGTGGATTAGAACATCCAACCTTTTGGCTAGGAGCCATGTGTCCTAACCATTTGTCACTCCCAGCAATGCCTCAGCTAAATGCTACCTCCTCTGAAAGACTGCCTGTGACTACCTGCTACAATGGCCACTCAGCTACAGCACAGCACCCTATGAGGGGTTTCTTATCTGTTCTGCCTGTTGACTTTCCCTCCTCAACTAGACCATGATACTTCTCTCTTGTGAAATCATGGAGCAATTATCAATATGGGTGTTTCTCCTTCCAGCCTGAACTGGGCGTCCCTGGTGGCACTCAGCCCAAAACTTGGCAGAGAGGACATGTTCAATCAATATTTGCCTAATAAACTTTGCTACCCTGAACTGAAGCATGAAGTAACAATTGCTTATTTCCTCTTGCGATGCGCAGGAGAAGCCTTTATAATGCGACATTATTTATGCTGCAGAGAGTCCCAGTCCAGTGAAATCTTAGGAATAAATGTTTTCATTGTGGGCCCAAGGAAAAAGTACCTGCTGTGTTTTCATCTCTTTGTCTTAAATTGAATCAGATGCAGATCTTCACGTGGTATATTAATTCCACCTTAAGTTGAAGATAAATGATCTTCATGTAGTATATTAATTCCACCTTAAGTTGAAGATAACCGATCTTCACGTAGTATATTAATTCCACCTTAAGTTGAAGATAGATGATCTTCATGTATATATTAATTCCACCTTAAGTTGAAGATAAATGATCTTCATGTATATATTAATTCCACCTTAAGTTGAGGATAAATGATCTTCACGTAGTATATTAATTCCACCTTAAGTTGAAGATACATGTTCTTGGCGGTTTTAAAGTAACTGGCTTACTTTGTACAATGAAAATAAGACCCAGGATTTAACAGGGCTGTTTCCACTGTCTTTTCATGTTTTTTCACACAGCATTTAAATTTTTAATTTTTAATTTCTTGGTTTTTACTTTTTTTTAAATTTGGGTGGGAGGGGCAGTTCTAAAGCATGATCGCAAAGGAAAACTGCAATACTTGGGGTCTCGTTCTCTCTCTCTACCTGTACCTGCACAGTGTATGTATAAACACATCCATAGAGAGACACATACTTAGACCCGGGTGTGTTTATATGCTGTGTTCATGTCACTTATTATTCCACAGACTTGGATATAAACTTTTCCCACCCAAAACATGATTGTATTAGGAGTAAGTCTTGCTAGAGCAGAATATTTAAAATGCGGTTTGGCAGAGACTCCCGAAGTCCGGTGAACTGCTAGCTGAACGGGCAACTCTTCTGTGGAGCGAGGCCAGCCAGGTGCCCCTTAGAAGGAGGGACGGCGAGGCTTCGTCGCACGTACTTTGGGCAGGCCCTCAGGGGCATGGCTGACTCAGTGGCTGCAGGTGGGCTCGAACCTGACCGTGAGGATGGCGCAGGAAGGGGCAGGGCTTGGTCCTATGGCCGAGGGGGCCACTGTGAGTCAGAAACGACTCGATGGGACCTGGCGGGAACAGGTAAAACGACCATACTTACAGGACTACGTCACAAACTCTAAACGGGAATAGCCAAGATAGGAGTTCATGATTTGTAA